AAATTATTTATTTTACTTTCTGATATGAAAATATTATTATAATCCCCAAATGTATCAAAATATATATAGTTAAACACAAGAAGGCATTAAAATTAATAAATTTTACAATAACCACAGAAAAGTATGACAAGAATAGAACTAATTTTTTTAAATGAATTAAATCCATGTCATTGATTTATTAGACTAGGCTATAATGTAGTCATGTTTACTATTTACTGTATATTTTTAAGTTCGGTCTTTTGGTTAAGATATTTAAGAACTGTGATTCTAAATTTTGAATTGCAACTTAAATTGTTTAAGAAATGTAATGATTAATTTTGTCATAATACTTAAATGTTTAGAAAAACTTGGTTTTCAAAGGTAAGAGAAATAAGTTTAACAAAGTATGCATTCATCACAATACAAAGAGTTGATGGGGCTCTTCTCTGACCCCCAGAGCTCATTGGCATTGAAATAATATGTTTTTAAAAATATGAACATCTTCTTAGGTAAAATTAAAAATTCAATGTACTGTTCTTAAGGGAATGGGATTAACCCAGTCTCCTTTGCTTTAGTGGTTAATATTTAGGCTGCAGAGTCAGGCCTGGGTTAACTCGGCTCTATTCATAGTCTGAGTTTGGCCGAGTTACTTAAATTCTCTAAAAGGATTCGCTTATCCATAAGAATTGGGTCAACAACTTAAATTTCCTCACAGGGTTTTCTTGTGGGGATAAAATTAGGAAACGCATGTTAAGTGCTGAATGAAGGTCTGGCACGGAGCAAGCACTCATAAAAGTTTAATATAACATAAGTTGTTCTCATTATCAGTTAGGAATGAGTTTCACTGCAAGTAGCAGAAAATGTTGCTTCCTTGCCTTACATGGACAGAGTTTATTTTTCCCACAAAACAAGAAATCCAGAGGGAGGAGTTTAAAGCTGTCTTCCTTCTGTCTTCCTGCTCAGCCATCTTAGCATGGGGTGTCAGCTTCATGGTCAGCACTATGACTGCTGTACCCTCAGGCACAAGGGGGGAAGGGTGAATGGCAGAAGGGCAAGGGTTGGGGCCAGCTGGGTCAGTACCAATTAAAAACTTCCCAGAAGCCTTACTCAGTGAAGCTTGCATCTTGATCTCTTTGGTCAGAGCTGCGTCTGCAGGGAATACAGGTTAGTGAGTCTTAGTTTTCCCTCTTCTGTTGTAGAGGAAAGTGAGGGTGAAGAGGGTTGTGAATGGTTTGGGCATGTCTATAACATCGTCTTTATTGTTCTATCATTTTTCCTCTTGAAGACACAGATTCCTAATCTGTGAAATGAGAGGTTTGGCTAGAAGATCTCCCACGTTCTCTGCACACTCACCTTCTCTTTAAAGGTGGTTTCTATCTAAAAGCCCAAGTATTCTTGTAATAAACTGGGTGTGCCACCCAGGTGCCCCCAGGTGCTGGGACTACCCCTTAGCTCCTGAGAGTGCTGCCAGCATCAGCCCTCAATTGTCACCTTGGCTTAAGACACTCACTCTTTCCTGGGGCAGAACACACCCAGTGACCGGTCCATTTGGGGCACAAAGGCCCCTGCCCCAACTGTGCCACTCTGAAGTTCCCTTCTAGCTCCTGAGCTCCCAGTGGAGTTGGAAGAGTCCTTCGTTGAGAATGCACTGAAGCCCCTCTGCTCTCCCCACCCAATCCCACTTCCTTCCCTCTCCTTCCACAGCTGCTGAGCTTTCTACATCCTTGTCTGTCTCAGCGTCTGTTTCCTAGGGAACCTGATCTGCAACAATTCCTTAAAGACGTTCCTGAAGGATCCTATCCCATGAAGAGCAGGCTGTGGTCTGACCTCATGTCAGACCCTCCACATTTGCTGGAAAACTCACTGGCATCAAGCATTAATTGTGCTTAAATATTTAGAAGCAACAAAGAAAAAATTAGCTTAAATAAAGGGTGACTTGAGTGTTCTGAGAAATAATTCTAAACAGGAAGAGAAATTCCAGGAAAGTGACGACATCTGGTCACTTCCTAATGGAAGGTGCAGGATAGAAACACATTTCTATTAACATAAGCTAATGAAGTCCCTGGGAATCTACATAAGTTAGTGTGTGTGTGTGTGTGTGTGTGTGTGTGTGTGTGTGTGTGTGTGTGTGTGAAGCTTTATATATATATATATATATAAGCTTCTTCATGGGACAGACCTATGCTTCAATTCCAGCTCCACTATATAAAGTCCTGTAACCTTGAATAAGTTACTATCCTCTCTGAGACTAAGCTCCGTTATTGCAAAAGATGGGGAGGAGGGTGAGATAATATGCAGTCGCATAATGATGTAAGGACTGGCTCAGAAAATGCAGTTGATGCATGGCAGCTCTTCACACTGGGGCCTGCATGAATGTGACCCAGTGGAGTTTGGATAATTTTTTTTTTTGCCAGGAATACTGGTAAAGAAAATGACTATATCAGAAAGTAGGTTGATTAGATTACTAGTTTTCCAAACTTTTAAGCAGAATTATTTTTCTTTTATTCAAACAAGACCTTGCAAAAAGGCAGATGAAATCTGGATTTTATTAAGCATAGATTTTGTAAGTTCAAATATATCATAATTAAAAATATGTAAGTGGGATTTACAGAAACGATTAAGATGAACAGAAAATTTTGAAATCAAGGTTATGGGTGGCAGCTACAGACTTGTATGGGCAGCAGCATCTAATTTTTCCTGTGAGGTTTTTGGTTGCAAGTGTTGGAAAAATCTTGACTCACACAAATAGTTGCAAATGATAACAGTTTAGGACAGCTCAACCTGCAATCTCAGGATATTTCTCAATTAAATTGTGTTGATAAGAGACTTATTCTAAGGTTTGTAGAAAACCAAATTAATTTGACTGTGTACGTTAATACATTGGTGGTCTGTGATATGTTAAAACCTGATATATAATATTTTTCAGTGTAAGCACTGTTCTTTATTGCACTTTTAAAAATAGTTTTAAAATATTTATTAGAAAAACAAAAATTAGAATCAAGCAATTTTGGAATCCCCGGGATTCCATGGAACAGAGTTTGCAAACTGTAAGATTTCATGGCGTTTCTACGCTTATTCCAAATGTTTGAATCAATGACCCTCCTTCTGTCATTGGCTATTTAACAAATCTGCCAAAGGTCATGTACCAAGACACTGAACACTGTCCACTGAGTGGGTAGAAAACTTTGCCATACATATATGTTATCCTTTGGTGACTTCTAAGGGAAGACTGAGAGGATATAAAGTGCTCAATGCCTGGAACAGAATAAGTGCTCCATACATAACTGTTGACCTGAACGACTTACTTGTTACTGCCAGGGATGCCTGTCAACTAAGAAAATAGCAATTCTGTAAGATGGAGTTTTATGGGGAAAAGAAATCAGTGTTTTGGTCACGGTAGTTGCTACTTGGAGTAACAGCGGGGAAGTCACTATGCTCAAATAATAGCACAGGAACCTTAAGAGAACCAGTGGGGTGGAAGATGAAGGCTTAGAGCCCAGGTGGGCAGCGAGCTTATCTTAATTCCATCATATGGTTTATTCAGCCTCAGACTAGTTCCAGATGCAAACCAATCACTTCAAATTTAGTTAAATTTATGTCTACTTTTATAACTCATTTCTTTAGTACCTATGGCTATGCTAGGCAAAAAACAGACCTGTGATAAATGCTTGTAAAAAAAATGAAAAACCAAGCGGAATCAAATCTTTTTATTCTGACTCTAGTTATTCAAGCCATCAGAGTTCAGCACACACAAGTCCAACCCTCAGGGGATGAGGGGGCTCTCCCTACTCTCCTTACTGAGCACCTGCCACACTACTGTGTGGCTATGCTGCCTTAGTTCTGGAAGGCTGTTCAGTTAGGGTCCATAGGACCATGGACCTTAGTTTCAGCAAAATAGAGAATGTCCAGAATATAAGAAAGGTAGTGTAGTACCTTTCAGCATCAATTTTTTTTTTTGAGCCCATGTGAGAATATACAAGTTTTCTTATACTTACATGTCTGGCTCAGGAAGCTAAATTGCACCAATAACCAAATGACTTGTTCCTCTAGAGCATGAATGATATTAGACAATGAGGGGCAAGGTGCAGATGTTGCTCATAACAACCAATAGCTATTAGGGTATTTTGGAGACTCAAAGTGGGCAAAGCACTACAGGGTCTTTCTTTCAAAAGTAATCAACTTTATCATTTTAGTAACAGCTCAAATATGTAATTTTCATTTATTGGCCAACATCTATGATTCCTCTTATGTCCTGTCATATTGGAATTTCAGAAACTTAAAATCATGAAAAATTTGGTTAGTTATTTTTTACTACCTTGTCTCAAATCTCCTTAGCTCAGGAAAATCTTTTGTGCATCCTCCTCCTAATGTGCATCCTTTAGGTGCTTGCTTTTACTTTTTACCCTTCTTAAACCATCCTGTATACGCAAAATGTTGATTTCGGGCCCAGAGCTAGCTCTCATTCTTTTCTGATGAAGGCATTCCTACCATCTTTCCTTCTGCTGTTCTCCCACATGGAAGAACTGACTCTATTTCGAATGCCTTTCCTTTTCCTTCTTCCAGCAGAAAGACTACTCATGCTTATGAGTCAACTGTTTCCTTGAGAGCCGTCTTTGAAAATACTCCAAATCCACAATGACCTCATTTTATGAATTTCTGCCAAAAATTACAGCCAGTTCAACATGCTCATCAACAAGCACTTTCATCAGTAATCAGTCACTGAATTCCTACATGCCCCATTTATCACAAAGTTGCACCTCAGCTGTTTTGAAGTGACCACCATGTTTGATAAACTTCTCTTCCACCCCCCAGAGCTCAGCACAGACTTGGACATACTCAGTCTTCAACATTCACTAATCAACTTAAACAGAGCAGTGTTTTCACTTTCTAAAATATAAAACTCCTGATGGCATAATTCTCTTTTTGTTGAACTTTGCAGGGCATCTCAGACTCCTGACATTTAAGGCTTTCTGATAATGGCTGTGGCTCTAGACCTAGAATCTACTGTTATAGCTCCTTACCTGGATTAAACACTGGAAACCAGTTGTAGAATTCATTCTTGTAGGGAACAGTGTCAAACTCACTGCACTGCATCTGCCGAAATGTTGGTGCCTCTGGGCGGCAGGGGTGGACGTTGCACAAGCGATAGCGTTTTCTTTCTCCAGTGCAGTACTTCCCTCCAAACTTTGGTCTGCAAATGAAACACACAAGCTGCTCTTTAGTTTCCTTAAAGGTCAATGTCTGCCTTTAAAACTCCCTGGCATCTGGCCATGCTCATTCCTTGCCAAATCATGTCCCTTTCTATTCTCAAAACTCACCTTTTAAATAAGTTCTTCTGATTTCATACATGGTTGTTGCCCATGAACCTTCAGTACCAAGTGTACAGCTGCCTATTTTGAAATAGTTTGACCACTTCCCAAAGTCAGTCAGGTGCCTGGTCATCAGCTGTATCTTTGTATCTGCTTCCTCCTCTTCATTTCCAGTCACCAACTAGTCCAATCCTTATTTCCATTCCTGTCTTCTCTCTGCCCTTTTTTTCCCCCTCATTCAGCCTATTGTGCACACTATTATCTAGTTAATTTTTATAATTACCTTATTTTAGTTTCTTGTTGAAAAATTTTAATGGCACCCACTGGCCACAGAATCACGTCCAGACTCTTGAGCTCGGTCTTCAAAGCCCTCATGATCCTGACTTAGTTCACTTTAACAACTTTCTCCCCACACTTCCCTTCATTTGCATACTGCTCGAGTGATACAAGCTGACTTATTTACTATTTCTTTTTTGTGCCTCTGGATAGATTTCCCCCTCTCTTAAGTCTCTAATCACCTACATACTGTCCATGTTTTAAGGGCCAAATAAAAGCTATTTCCATCATGAATTCTTCCTGGAGTCCTGCCAGAGGTAATCTCTTTCTCCTCTTAAATGACATTTCATTATCCTACTGTATGTGCTTCCTACAGTGAGCATGCCCAAAGGTAATTCTTTGACTAAAGGAGTTTGTATTCATTGACTACCTGTAGGAGTTACCAAGAATTGTCTTTGATATTAGAGGTTAGGCTGATTTTCAACTCATTATGATGGAGTGATACTCTATGACTTGGAATCTCTCCAATTCATTTGCATCCAACAAACATCACTGAGGACATTTTATGAGCCAAGCACTGTTGGGTTCTCACTAGACAGCTGACCAACATCAAAGATATAGTCTCAAGGTCACTTGGTCATGCACTGGCATGAACCTGTGACCTGAATCACAGAATTGAATATGTGACTGTGTTTCCCCTGGCATTATTTTCAGTGAACTTAAGCAAACCAGCTACTGAGAACAGACATGGTCACTCACGTAAGGAGACTCTATGACAAATTGTGGCCTCTGAGATGGGAGTTAAGACCATTCTCCTCCTGAAGCCAAGTTAGAGAATCATCCTTCAGTTCCTTAACAAGGATGTCCCTTTTCTGATAACCACAGGTCACTGACAATTCTCCCAAGAAGGCTACAGATTGGTAGTAGCTGATGCATGGTATTGACAATAGGTCCCAGAGCAAATCGTCTATATTTCCTGATCTCTAAAATGGAAATCATCTGTCTGATCATATTGAAATAAATTATAAAATAAAGATTTTCTGTAAAAGTAAAGTATAAAAAATTCCTGGTTTTAAATTTTTGAATTCACAGAAACCTTATCAAAAGGTAGATTTTAAAACACTTTTGTCCAAATTCCTCAAATGTACACTTATATGTGTGGTAAATGATAAAATATCATAATAAGGACAATAATAACTACATTTATTGACAAATTTTTGTAGTAGGTATTGTATTAAACTCTTTATAGATATTAATATATTAACCCTTAGAAGAAATTCATTATATATATAGTATACAAATGCATATACACACATACACACACACACACACATGTATATATATATATATATATATATATATATATATATATATATATACACACACACACACATTTAATAATATATTTGTTAATAAAAAAACTTAAGATTTGGAGCTGAGATACTGAGAGAATTGTAATCACATTTATCACTGGACTTTTAAAAAATGTGACTCTTACTTTTCAGTGCAGACTAATGTAAAATTAGGTGAAAGAAGCTTAATATATTTTCCACTTATAGGAGGCATCATATGCATACTTTTAAAAAATTATACTTGGGAAGCAGTATACCAGGAAATAAGAAATTAAGAATGTAATATATATTTGGAAAACAAGAAGATTTAAATTTAAATCATACATAATATCATTATACAAATTTAAAATATGAAAAAAAATTAAGCAGTTTGATTAAAAAATTGAAAGCCACTTGTGAAATAACTTCTATGGAATCCTTAACGGGCTAATATGGATCTCTAAGGTTTACAAAATCCTTATCTAAAACATTAAAAATAACAATTCTCAAAAATGCGCCTAGCTATTTTCTTAGCTACCTAAGGAAAGAAAAATATTTTTATAAATTGCACATTCATTATGATGGAAAGCGAGCTACAGTCTTATCAGCAAAATTGTGTCTAACTAATCTCTCACTGGTAGAGTGGGGTTATCTAGAAGGACTTAATTTTATAATCTCCTACAGGCTTTTACACAGATTATACTTTTGAAAGAAATTTGCTTATTTCTCCAAGTGATGCAATCGGCTTACTTATCTATGTTCCATTAAGAATCCAGCGCCAAGCCAAAACGAAACAAAACAAAACAGAACCACTTTTTTTCCCCACCCTCAATGAACCTTCGGGACCCCTTGGTCTTTGGGAGCCCACCTAATTTCCCTCAGGAGGCTTGGGGTCACTGACGTCACACTAGCCAAGAGCAGTCTCCCAGCTCTCGTGGAAGGAGGTAAATACATTTGGCTGGACTTACTCAGGGTTGTTGCAGAGCCTCTCTGCACTCTGGGCTCCGGCCCCACAGGTCCTAGAGCAGTGGGACCAGGGTGACCAGCGGCCCCAGCCTCCGGGAATGCTCTCTGGTTTCTTCCCCACTGTGATACACTTGCCAGCCATACACCACTGGAAATGGAAGAGCAGGGAGATGTCAGGAAGGTTCCCATAGCAGGCTGAGCCCCAAACCCTAGAAGTCCAATCCCAATTCTCCCTGAGCCTGCAGGCTTCCTACAGTCACATATCACATGGAGGACAAAGAAGAGCTCGTAAATAAACTTCCCCCAAGAGTCTTGGGTTTTAGAATCAGAGAATTTCAGGAATTGAAGGGAACTTTACGGGGCCTAGTTACAGCCAATGCAGAAGTGCTACTCGGGGTGGTTGGCAGGTTGCATGCCAGAATGTCAATCAGCACATCACTTCCTTCTCTGAGAAAGGCTTGCTACGAAAAATGTCAGCTAGCAGAGTTGTTTAGTAACATAATTGATTTTCTCTCTGGTGCAAGCCCTTTATCTTTATAACACAACAAACATTTTGCAGACTGGCACTGTGATAATACTTCTTTATAGCTTCCGTGGGTATTGAATGTCAGCAACAGATAACTTTATCCTCCTGGAAAAAGTCCACTCATTGCCAAAAACACTACCTGTTAAGATGCTGAAGTTCCTTCTAATATCAAGAAAAATTTCTGCTTTCCTGTAACTCTACCCATTGTTTCCAGTTCTGAACTTTCAAGTGACTCAAAAAAAAATTCCAGTCTTTCCCTCTTCAAGGCAATCTTCCAACAACTATCAGTCTAGGAGGGTGGACATACAAAAAGGAAAACAAAAGAAAATGCAACTTGGTTGTTAGAAACGGCCACGTTTCCTGGAGGATTTGGGCATGTTTTATCTGCTGCCCTCACTGTCCTCATTACTTCTGGTCACTGGGTATTTTGACCCAATTCTATAATCTCAGTGATGGGTCAGGCCATACCCAAGCTGCATAAAGACTCCCACTAAACACCTAAATCCTAGGCCCACACAAATCCAATTGGTTTTGTGGAGCAGCGCGTGTTACCCTGTTCTCAGGAAGTCTGGAGACTGACATCTCTGAGCTCTTGGGTGTCTGGCTCTCCTGTTTATAGTACAACGGGCAGGACTTCAAGAAAGACAGTCAGGTCTGATGGTGAGAAAGTGGATAACCAGCAGCCCAAATCTGTCATCTTTGGAAAGAAGAAGCCCCTGGCTTGTCCTTTCCAATCTTTAATACGGAGGGGGAATAAAAGTTAAAATGAAGGTTGACAATCAGCTTAATAGAAGTTACTGACCACACATTCCATGGAAGTTCGCCAGGGAAAGATGGAACAGATGTTGTACAGGTGAAGTGTGGCCTCAGGCCTCAGCCCTCTCTCCTTAGCTACCTGCTTCCTGGGAAGGCTCAGAAGGTCTAGTGGCAGCGAACACTTTCCTCTGGCAAGTCTGTCTATCTGATGTCCATTTACCCAGAAACAGCTGCCCTCCGGAGCCTTCTCCCCAGCCCTTCTCAAGAATTCTGCCCTCCCGCCTCCCTTCCTCAGCCTGACACATCACCTTCTTCTCGCCACATCGTGTCCCATCGGCAGCAGCGTCCAGCTTTGAGCGACAAAAGCCTTTCACTGAGCACCACAGTGTCTGACAAACATTCTGGAAAACAAGAGTGAGATGGCACTTTTTTTTAATACTTTCAAAACTTGCACAAAAGCATCTCTACCATGATAGTAAAATATACACACTCGCCCGCATACCCACAATAAATGCTGCTGTTCTTCGTGAACAAGAGGGATGGAATGTAATCATTCGAGAACTCTCAGTTCAAACTTAATTTGGACTTCGTCATCATTCATAAGCAGTGGTCTGCAGACCACGCTGGGCAGTAAGAAAATGGAAGATAAAACACATTTTCTAAAAGTTGAGACTGTGATTTCTATATGTGTGACACAATATCATTGCCCGTAGGCAGGGAAACGGGTGACATTAGCCATCAAAAGCCAATCCAAAAACTGTTCACAGAAGGCGTCTGGTTACAAAGAGCTGGGGTGGTTGTAACTTGAGCCCACCCACTGAAGGAAATAAAAACTTACAGAAAGCAGCTTATTTACTTCCTACTCAAAGTAGCCAGCTTGTTTTAGCTGCCAGGCTCTAAGAAAGGAGAACAATGAGGGGACTACTGCAGTCTTCTAGGAACAGGTAGGTTTTAGAGAGATTTAGGAGGCAGAATTGGCACAACTTGGTAACCACTTAGAATAGAGAGGTCAGGGATTTTTGCACTAACTTGATCTTCTCTGTTCAGTTTTGCTTGGGTGTCTAAGCACTTATTTACTTCCTCCTCAAAGTTTTTTCTATATGTCTCTGTCTGTCTTTATCTCACTGTACTGAAATTTTTCCATTTGCCTCTTCCGCCGGAATGCAGTCTCCTCAAGCACAGACACCCTGTCTTATTAATTTGGGCACGCTCATCTTTTTCATCTTAGTTAGTCCACAGCGCAGAGTCCTGCTTGTTAACGTCTATGCATTAACAATGATACTTTAGCACTAAAAGTATCAGAGAACAGTCAAGGTCCTGATCACACAGAAATGTCGCACAAAGGAGTTGGGACTTTATCCCATGATCAGTGGTGACCTTAAGGGCACAGCAGCGCCATTGTTAAATTTGTGGGGGTTTTTGAAATAACTTGAGAAAGAATGTGAATAGGGGAGAGATTATGTAGGAGGTAATTACAATAGCAATGACAGATGATGAGAGACTGAATCAAGACAGTAGCAGTGGGAATGAAAAATACAGGACAGAGCCACAAACTCTCTAGGGGGTTAAATGTCAGTGCTTGCCTTATCATTTAGGTTCTGAAAATAAAGGAGAAGAATGAATTGGGGATGAATCTTAGACCATCCTTAGGATCTGGTGGTGCTCTTCAACCAGATGGGAAATTCAGGAAAGGGGGCAGTTTTAGGGATTAAGTTGTTTGCCATGGAATCAGTAGGTATGAATCACTGTGGTTCTTGAAAATCGCTATGGGAGTTTCTTCACCACTACCCAGTTGTAAAGGGTTGCTGGATCCAGAGAATGCCAAGGAGGCAGGGTCAAGGAATGTAAGTGACCCCAACATCAATCCTTTTGCCTTCTAGACACCTGCAAATGAATAGACAGTTTCTATTTCTGTGGATCTTCAGATTTCCAAATATTTCCCTGGCCCTTTCTCCAGCACGCTGGGAATTTCAAGCCCTGCACAGACCCACCAGAGGCACCGAGATGCCTAACACTTACTTCTACTTCCTGGCAGAAGGTAGCATTGGGGCCATACTGCAGCTGGCATTGGTGGTGAACATCATAGATCACTCCAGGGGCAATGACCTTGGACTTCAAGCCTTTCTTTTGGGGGGTGTCATCAAGACAGAACCCCCAGCCTCGGCTGAAAACAAGTTAATAGAAATAAGAGCACATGCTTATGATTTCCTTCATCTTTAGTCTTTAACGCAACAGAAACTTCCATCCCTCTAGTTTACTCTTTGTCCTTCACACCTTTATTTCCACAAGGCAGAGAACCCTCCAGACCCACGGTGGGAGCTGTGTGAAAGGGAACACAAGCCACATCCCACACCATGAGTTCAGTTGTGATCTAGGAAATACAAGGAGGGGTGAAGTTAGAAAATTATCGTATTACCCCTAATGGGGCTTCGGTGACCACTCCTGACATATCCTGGTTGTTCCCGCCAGTCCCCAAAGACTTAACATACTCTCTGCTCAGAAAGAGCCGCCTTGAGACAAGAGTTAATGGGGGTGGGGGAGGGCAGCATGTTCACCTGGCTGTGGCTGGAGGGCAGAGCCCACCTAGCTCTCAGACTCAGAAAGCAGAAGTGAAATCCACCCGCTCTAGATGCCACCCTTGTACTGCGACCTGTGTGAGGAACTGAGACTTTTCCAGGCCTCAGGTAAAACTCAAAGTGCTTCCGGTTTAAAGAGACCCAAGTGAGGCTGTCCCGAGACACACTGTCACTTACTCCAGGAAGCGGGTGATGTATTCCTTGCTGCACTTGGACCACGTCAGCGGGGTGGGATTGTACTGCAGCTGGCGCGACATGATGTATGGGTGCCGGCCCACGGGCTCACAGTCATTTTCTTTCCCGTCATGCTGAATGCCGAAGCTGTAGGAAGGCACAAGGCCAAGAACATCAGGGAGGAAGGCATGAAACAGGGAGAAG